TGATGTATCCTGCATCTCCATCACAGGCAGGGTACCACTATCACATCGATGGTGCCACTATCATAGCTCTCGATGATGTATCCTGCATCTCCATCCTTGGGAAGGTGCTACAGAGACGATGTCACGACCATAGAGAAGGTCTCGCTACCAGAAAGATCAGATCAGACAGTCTGATCTACAGTTAAACCAATGTAAACGTAAGAAAGTCCAAGAAGCATTCTTTACCCAGGGGCTGTAGGTGTAACATCTCTGGCATCAGAGACCTGGACATGAGCCCTTTTGTGCCTTTGACAACCTACGTGACTAAGAAGGTAACTTTACTTGAGTGCTTTTATTATGTCACACACCAATGAGGATAAAGTTATTTGTAGTCAGCCTTCAAGATGGGAGAAATCTACATGTCTGCTACAACAACTGCTAGATGACACTTAAAAAATCCGTTCATAAGGTTAAGGGTTTCCAGTTTCCCCACTCATGTCTATGATGTTTTTTGCTACGGATTATCACTAGATGAGAGGAAGTATTAGTCACTTCCTGTTGCATATGTAGATGAGCGTGAACTTCTAGACAAACTCAACATTGCAGATGAGGAACCTGCTGGGTCTCACAGTAGTAGTGGGGATTCCCATCTGCTGGTCTGGTTCTGGAGTCCGTATCACTGTGTGGAGTTTGGGGACCTCAAAGGTACAAAGTAGGAACCCGTGCTCCTTGTCACCCAGCTCAGTACCAGTCACTGTGGAGCTCCGTTCTAGACATCAAGTCAAAGAAAGAGATCTGGGCTCCAAGGCCAGGCACTTCTGGACAAGGGACAGTAATGACAGCTGAGCTTTTCAACAAACACCCTGGCATAACATGTCAAGACTAAGAAGGAAAACAAGGAAGTTGTCCTGCAGGGGACAGCCGGCCATCAAGACAGCAGTGGTTGGTGGCTTTGGTATCTTGGGAAGGAAACCCAACTAGAAAGTGGCAAGGTCAAAATGGAAGAGCGGGCCCAGGCGCTCCTTTCCAGAGCAGCGGTGGAGTGATGGCGGTTGGTCTCAGCCGCTCACAGATCCCCAGGGAAAGGGGAGCTACTACATTATTAGTCTCTTCTGAACAGAGGCCGAGAGAAGCCTGGGAGGAGTCCCAGCTTAAAATACACAAAATGACTGAGGTTTCATTTCATTCCTTTTAATCTAATAATAAATACCTGGGGCACTCTCTCTGGGCAGTTGGATTAGTTATGACATTTTATGGACTGAGATAGCTTAAAAAAATAAAAAAAGGAAAATTCTTACAGCTTTCTGACAAGACCACTTTAAGTATGGCTGCGTATCCGTGGTCTTCACAGTGCAACCCATCATCCAGTGAGCACTCATCCAGTTCAGCCCCAAGGCTAGAAGATTGATCTGAGCACTAACTGGTCTCAACCAATGGAAATAGTTTGCCTTCAATATAGTGAAATCTTTAGTCCTGGGGTAAAAAAAAGTATTTGTATGGCCGGCCCATTTTATTAGTTGACTACTCAGTACACATTATATCTTTCTTTGTAAAACATCAATTTTATCTGGAGCAGCAACTCTTGAACATAATGAAGGAACATAAGGGCAGGAAATTGGTTGGTGGAACTAAGGGAAAGCTCCGTTTCCACACAGGAGGCAATGTTGACACAGTCCTTTCTATCCGGGAATAAGTCAATAATGGCAGGAGTAACCTCAGCCTCCCCTGGCTTGTGACACAGCCTGAAGATAGAAACTATGTGTGACGGCAAGTGAAACAGACCATAAACCAAGCTTGGGTCTTTCTGCTCATGGAGTGGAGATACCAACTCTGGAGTTCCTAACTCAACTTCTTCTGGGGTATGTGTATGTCCATGATAGGGTACACACGTGTACAGGTGCAAGCTAGGGGTCAAGGCCAGGGGCTTTGCTCAGTCACTCTCTACCTTATTTTTAGAGATGGGGTCTTTCACTGAATGTGGAACTCATCGACTAGCTGGGCTGGCTGGTCAGTGAAACCCGGGGTTCTCATGGCTCTGCTTCTCCAGCACCAGGACAAAGGAGCACGCTGCCAAGCCTAGCTTTCACTTGAACGATAGGGTTCACGCATTTCTCATGCTTATACCACAAGCATTTTACTGACTGAGCCATCTCCCTGGCCTCCAACTGCTTTTGATATGACAAATGTAACTATCCACTCCACTCCATTATATTTCAACTTCCTGTTGTATATAACCAAACCAAATCCCAACAAATAAGCCTTCATGACCAACATTTGTGGGTGACCCAAACTTAAAACTCAACCCAGACTTTTAAGTTACTGAGACTAGTAACTAGTCAAGGAGAAAAGTTTAAGTAATGAAAATAGGCTACTCTAACTAGGTCAGGGGTAAGACTTTGAACCTAGCTCCTCCCTCATGGAGTTAAGACAAGCCTTTACCAGGTACCAGTCTAGTTTCAGCTACTTTTCTTTGGAAACATTCTATAATTTCAGCTCATCACCTGAGTAGTAAAATCTACTTTCCACATCCTATCTTTTATGTCTGAGGGGCTACAACAAAACCATTTACCAAGCACCCAGTCATTTTCAGTGATAACAAGAGCAGTTAAGAGGCGAGATCGCTACAAGTACAGAAACCACATTAGGCTTCGCATTTAGGGTAACTAAAAATAGCATTTGTATCGCTTCATCTTTTAAAGATTTATTTATTTGATGTGTGTGGATTTTTGCAAGTATGTCTGTGTACTGTGGGTATGCCTGGTGCCCACAGAAGATGGCATCATTCCTGCAGAAGTGGAGTTACAGATGATTGTGAGCCACCTTGTGGGTGTTGGGAATCAAAACTGGGCCCTCTATAAAAGCAGCAAGTACTCTTAACCCATCTCTCCCGACCGTTTTTAGTTAACCTTAATATGTGGTGTTACCACCACGGGATGGGAAACGAGAGAAATGGGCTGATGTTAGACCGAGTTCTCTGCTTCCTGGCCTCAAGCAGTGGGTCAGTCTGTGTGAGTGGAAAGGCGCTAGCATTTAGAGCATGGAGGAAGAACAGAAGACCTTAAACAACAAACAACCACTTCCGGCTCTCGAGTGGAAGCAAGGATTTAACACCAACTAGTGATGAACAAAAAAGTTATGGTCAAAAATACAGGATGGAGGGACACTACAAGTAGGCACTGGACTTACCTATGCTTTACTAAGGCAAAATACTGATTTTTTTTTTCTTGCTGAGAAGATTCAGGAGCTCGATTTACCCCCGTTCCCATGAAAGAACAAGAAATTCGGGAAGCCAGACGAGAGACTACAGAGAGGCCATACACTTGCTCACTCATCAGTCAGCAAACCCCAGTTCTGGAGGACCTGGTGGCTTTTCACATCACTCAAACTGTCGGTGTACCGGG